GTAAAGCTGGACACCCAAAAAAAATAGAAATATCATTACCATGTGTGTAAAGTTTGATTTAAAGTTTGATTATGGTCTAGCATCATATGGGAATTCAGGAGGGAGGGGAAAAATATTTTCAGTTGCTTTGGCTGCCAATGTAACTTCTATCAGTTTCTACCTCAGACCTTAACTATGTCCCCCAAATAAAAACATCTCAAGTCAACCTCCACCAGTGATTTTTCCCCCACACATTCACTGTCTACAAGTCTACATTATCAAGAACAATGTAAAAATGAACACTCTTATTTACTATCAGGACTATTACAATTCTCTCAAGCTCTTTGCTTTTTTCTCAAGAGAAGCAGATCTGGTGAGACTGAAGAGGCCATAATGTGGTGGTTAGACTACTCCTGTAATCAAAGCAGTAAGATAGCTATTTTCTACAATCTTTAAAGTCTGAAATGCAAAAATTGTCCTGTGGGTTTTTCAAATCAATTTGTGGGCTTACACCATTGTTTCCCAGACATCAAAGCCATTTAGTTCCACACATGCATACACAACTCAGATATTGTCTTCTCCTCCCCTACCCCTATTGAAGATGTTGCAGAGGTTTTTTTCATTGGTTCAACCCCATCTGATGGAAACAGTCATTTCATCTCTTTAAATCTTACTTAAAGCCCTCCCTTTTTCTCTTTAGCATATCACTGAGCTTTCCTAGAAAGAGTTTTGCAATACTTTATTTTCAAATACTGCGATTTTTTACTTATTCACATGTATCCCTCCTCTATGACTTAGAAGTTAATTAGGTTTTACCATTCTCTGTCCATTTTCATTTGACAGCCAGAAAACAGGAAGAAACTCAATTCTTATGCTATATTAAAATATAGATTGATATGAGATAGGAGAAAAGAAGCATCTTCTTGACACACTAACCTGAATTTGGCTCCTATTTGAACATATTAAGTTCCTTCCATCTCATTACAAAACCTAAGCTGTGTCAGCAAATGAGCACAAGACTCTAGTACTGTTTCTCTGGGGTTTGCAAAAGGGCAAAACACATAGATCAGGAAGAACACTCTGCTAATTAAACTGCAGCAGATGACTCAAGAAGAGAAGGGCTTGTCATATGTAATGTCTATGCCAAGAACGATCAGATTAAATATGCAAAATGTGAAGAAAAGGTGGGCAACAGCACAAAGCTGATATTCTAGACTTTAAATAGGCTGCAATAGTTCTGACAATTCCCCTAATTATTCACAATAATGGACATAGGGTTCAAAAGGCAGGAGGAAGAAATACATTTTTCTCCATTATAGGTGCTGAGCACCAAGGCTAAAATCATGCCTGTCTGAACACTGATCAGTTTCTGCAAAGGTTAATAGCAATTAAATGTGGCAAACTAGACTAAATGAGAAACAGGTCATGATACCACCATACTTGCAAAGAGCACAATACTTGGTAAAAAAAAATTCTGAAGTATTTCTTACAGTTTCAAGAGCACTTAGAAACTGAAACAATTAAAAAAGTGTTCAAATTAAAGCATATTGGGTATGTTTTCCATCATAAAACAGTTCATTAGCACCATTTTTTAACTCTCCCTCTTCCCCCCCCCCAAATAAAATATTTCTAACATCCCTAAAAAGATAGGTTTCCCTCTTAAAACCCCTCAATGCCAAGAGATAAAGCAGTAACTCCTGTCTAGCCTGACACATTCACTAGATCCAACGCATTACTTCTGTAGTATTTATCTAACAGTGAAGTGAGGTAGCTAATAAAATTTTGTCATACGAGTCTCATAATAGTTGCAAGGACAGAAATATATAAGAGGTTGTATAAGTACTGGAAAAAATGTTTTAAAATCTGTGTTCCATTCAAGGTGGATAAACAGTTAAAAGTATTTAGAGATTCACTTATCCCATTTGCCTTGGCTCAGATGTAGATTAAGCATTGTAAGCAACACAATGGAAGCACTGTTTTGCATACAGAGTCAACTGGAAGATATGTTTATGAACTCTTGTATCTTCTTTGACTGAAAACCAGCTAGTGCTACGAAATGTCAAATCCTTGTGGAAAAAACTACTTAACTAAACAGAAAAAGTAATTGTTGATAAATGTAGACCCAGGTTTGCATTCTATGCTTTAGTTTTATATGCAACAATTTTTGTTTCCATTATTATTTACTATCTCTTAAATCTTAGCCTTTGATAATAATCTTATGATAATATAGAAGGATGCTTTCCATTGGCTTATCATATTTCATGTTCCCAAAAAGAGGTCCGATACTGCTAAGGGGGCTAGGATGAGAGATTGATGGTGGTAGAGTGGGGTATAATGGAGGGGTATCTGCAATAGAAATACTCAATGGTGGCGGTGGACTGTGTTGCTCTTTGTCACGATAGAAAGATGGCTGACAAGCTCAGGACACACCAACAGATGTCAGTCTGCACCTTGCTGTGTGACCCTCTTCCCAGAGCTGGGAACTGGGGCCTGTAGAGATGAGATCAGGCAACTATCTTGCAGAGGAATGGACCAACCAGCTGCAGATGCAGGGGAAGGACCAGTGCTCTCTCTGACCTGCAGCTTGTCTACTTTGCAAAAAAAAAACACAGATATTTCCTGTTATCTGAAAAATTCAGATATACAGGCAGTCCCCGAGTTACGCGGATCCGACTAACGTTGGATCCGCAGTTACGAACGGGGTTTGCTGCCCGTCTCCCTGGTCTGCTGAGACGGGGAGCAAAGCTTCTGAGGACACCGGCAGCGGGACAGCCGCGGCGCGTCTGGACTGTCCACTGCCC